CAGAGGTTGGACAGACTTGTAGAGCCGCTCAGAGCAACATGCACCACAAAAGTATGTAAAATATTGAGCAAACATAAATCAGACATGGAGCTGTTTCTGTGTATGGAAATGTGAGCAGCATCTAGCTGTTAGCACATATGCAGTTTCCATAGGGGCCAAAGTTACATTTATCAGATCATTTCCATCATAATCTATTTTAGTTCTTCTTTTACTTGATCTTTAATCACAAACATTCAGGTTGTGATGTAGTTTGGGCTATTGATTGGTCAGAAAGTCTGATATCTAATTATGTCATATTGCTTGTTTTTTTTTTCCTCAGGTAAAAGCTAACTCTGTAAAGCAGGAGTTTGAAAAGCAGGATGAGCTCAAACGATCTGCCATGCGGGCTGTAGTGGCCTTGCTTACCATCCCAGAGGCCGAGAAAAGCCCCCTAATGAGTGAGTTCCAGTCTCAGATCAGCTCCAACCCTGAGCTGGCTGCCATCTTTGACAGCATCCAGAGGGACTCCTCAAGCACCAATATGGAATCCATGGACACCAGTTAAACAACTACGACAACGTGCCCATTGCCGTCGCTCTCAGCAAAATCCACAAAGAAAACCAACCCTGGGGGACCCTTGTATTGTTCCATGCATTGCACTGAATCAAAAATAGGAGAAAAACAAAAAAATCGTAAAATTACGGGGAAAGAAAAACTAATAAAGGACAGACATTCATTTTCTTAAGCTTCAAGGCTTAATATCACATTCTTTGTTTTTCTATAAATGACAAGAAATTGCTTCAGTTCTTCATTCCTCCTCTACATTGTTCTTAAATTTTTTTTTTTCTGTTCATTTTCATAATTCCTGAAGTTCTGTACTCATCTACTCCGAGAACTGCAGAGGGACTTTCTTGGTCACATGAAAATTAATTGACCACAGTATTTGTTCGACCATGGGAGATTAGTTCTTTACATTCTAGGCTGCTGACAACTTAAATCGGAATCTACAGGGCTCATTGATAGCGCTCATTAAATCAAAGTCACTTCAGGGCCGTGTTTTTTTTTTTCTGTCATGTTTCTTATCAGACAAGTTTTATTAGGTTTTTGTACAATTTGAATGTCATCTCTCCTCTTTTTACTAGCAACAACGTAAGTTCAGAGCGAGAAGTCTTAGAAGTATAATCCCTAAGAGTCGTGGCATAGTTATGATGTTTCACTGGATGAGTGACTGCTTTTTCTTTATTGCATTTCATTACATTCCCACTGTCCGCAGAATTGCGAGCCATCAGCATGTCACATACAACAAAAAAAAAGAGAGAATTCAGCTGCAAACAATTTGCATATTTTACTTTTTCTATTTGATGACAGTTTTGTTTGGCTCTGGCATATAGAGGTGAAATATGACATCGAACATTGTTATGAGAAATAATTGCCCTGTATGGAACGCACATATGTGAATAAAATAAGTGGAGAATATTCTCTCAGGTGCTCGACTGTATTCTGGAACTGTAAGGGTGTTGTTCTTGCTTTTTAAATTCACTTTAACATGCTGCCTTGCTTGAAATGCTCACATGTAAAATGGGTTGAGTATATGACTTTTTTTTTTTTTTTCATAGAGCTAGTTTAACTTACCGCAATACTCTGAGTACTGTGTATAGTGTGCAGGTCTCTCTTTTTAAGGATATCTGTAAACTGGATAATTTAACATCATACATCTCACTCGATAGCAGACCAACAGGTGGCTGATGTTTGAATCTAATGCTCTGGAAATCAGTGTGTAGATTGCACACTCTAGTTTTACTCGTGTAATCATGTATGCACAGCATTCTACATTCTTTGGAGTGTTACAGTATGGCAATGTTCCTCAGTAAGATATCAATAAAAGGACCATTGCTGCCTGCATCCATATATGTCATTTTATGATCATTACAGTGCAGCCAGAACCATTATAGTGGCTGATGCATATGCACTGAAAGAAGGCTGAAATTGCCAGTTCCAATCTGCTTGGCTGGCCTAATGTGACATCCGGAAGTGAGCATACACCAGTATTTCTGTCTGCCCACTTAGACACAAAATACCAGGTTGACAAAGTAGGCACTTTTAAAGAACTATTACGGATTTGACAAAGGTTAGTAGCATCATGGTCTAAATATCTTAGTAGCTGATCTACCTATATGTTTCAGTTTCAACGTTTTACAACACAAAAATGTAGCTTTATTTTCAAATGTTTGCCAGAATAATATATCTAATGTATGGATCAGATATTGTCAGAAGTTTGAGTGTGATATTGCAACGTTTTAATCAAATATTGGAAATAATTATTTCAAGGTTTTGACATTTTTGTTTCAAATAAGTGAGGCATTTCAGGTAAAGTGTTCGGTTTACTTTAATACATGTTCTGGTTGTAGTGTGGTTGATTCCTTAGCACTGGTAACTTTGCTTTCATACAGGCAGGCATCTATGAATCATGCTGGAATTTATTTTAACTGGCAAACTATTTTATGATTAATGATAATGTAAGAATATGGTCAGCTTTTCCATCAGTTCTTATTCAGAGTTGATCATTGTAAAAACAAAGGAACACAGTAAATGTCATTGCCTCCTCCTATGCATGGTGAACAAGCCCTGGCAAATCATTTTTGTAAGCTTATGCCACGTATGGGACAAACACGGTCTTATTTGAGGACAGAGGAGTTCCAAATAGGGTTTTAATCTGCTTCTAGGCTGCTGGAAGCATGAAAGTACATTTTGTAGTCGCTTAAATGAACCCACTTCCAATTTGCACGCTAATGAGTCACGCAAATGCTATTAAAGCCCAATTTACAGTGGCCTGATTTGCATCAGAGGTGTGAAGGCTAATGCACAGGCTTGATCATTCTCTCATCAGGACAGATGGATCATTGTTGTCTAGCAATGTGTCATCCATGTTGAGGCTTTTTAAATTATTTTTTAACAGCTGTCAAAACAATTGTGTGCAGCAATTCAACTGGGTACTTATTTTATTGATCATATCTTGATCAACTCATTTCAAATATGTCTTAATGTATATATACAGTAGTGGCCAAAGCCAAAGTCTAGTTTTCAGCCCTTTATGTAGCAACTGGAGGCCATTTGAGCATAGTAAATCCATTGCCATGTTCAAGAAATGAGATCGAGAATATTTAAGCTTGGTTAAATGGCGTGTTCCTACTGGCGTTTAAACAAAACCAATTGGTACTAAGGGCTCAAAGTTGGTCAAGAAAATATTGCCTCACCAACACCTGCCTGAACTGTTGACACAAGACTGGGATGGATCCATGCTTCCATATTGTGGTTATTTCCAATATTCTAGTGTCCAGTATTGGTGTACCAGTGTCAATTGTAACCTCAGATAGCCAGATCTTAGCTGACAGGAGTAGCACATTGAGGGCTCATCTGCTTTAAGAGTCAATGTGTTGTGTGTGTTCCGACATGCCTTTTTTCAGACCTTTTTCAGACGGGGTTACCGTATGTGAATTACTGTCAGTTAAAACTAGTCTGGCCATTCTCTGCATGAAATAGATCTGCAATTTCTGAAATACTAAAATAAACATGCATGCTCAAAGTTACTTAAATCTTCTCTCCCCCTTTTTGATGCTCAGTTTGAACATTGAAGATTTTCTTGACTTGGATTCACAACTACTTAATATATTTTTTAATAATAATTTGGCCAGTGAGTGTTGGTTGGAAAGTGTAAAACCTAAAATACCTTCAATAAATTTATCGTTTTTGCTCTATATACAATTTTCCTCATGTTTGGATGGTTTAATTAAACTTCCAAAGTTTGTAAAAATAAATATATATTTTTTTATAATTATTTTTTAGGGCTTTTCACTTTTAATGACAGGACAGTGGAGATTTACAGACAGCAAAGTATAGGGAGTAAAGAGAGGGGAAGGATCAGCAAAGGACCTCAAGCTGGGAATCGAACTTTGGTCGCCACAAGCACCTGGGTGCTATATGTTGACGCACTAACCACTAGGCTATTGGTGCCGATGTAAAAATGAATATTGTCCAAATACCTAAGAGACATATACTAACCCATAGACCAGGGGTCACCAATCAGGGGTCACCTGCAGGGTTTAGCTCCAACTTGCCTCAACACACCTGTAGGGATGTTTCAAGTATACCTATTAAGACCTTGATTGGCTTGATAAGGTGTGTTTGATTAGGGTTGGAGCTAAAATCTCCAGGACACCGGCCCTCCAGGAACAAGTTTGGTGACCACTGCCATAGACAAACAAATGTCACAAAACCAGTATTTCAGCCCATGATTAGTAAAAAAAAAACTCACTAAAAAGACAACAGAAAACCTGTTGCATACAGATACCTCTTCCAAACTGCATATATATGTGATCATATCATTGTGAGCAAGCCAAAAAAAGACTAATCATCGTTATAGATGAAATGTGCTTTCTAATGATGACGAAGTGGCTGTGCTGCCCTATGGGAAAACGCAGCAGGAGGCCGTAAAAAGCACACTGCAGATTAATGCCTTCCCTACTGCTGACAGATCCTCCATGGCCCGCTGAGCAGCTGCTTGTAGCTGCTTTAAAGCCAGAAGCTTAATGTTTCACCTCTAAGCCGGATTTAAACAATGCAAGGAGACCTCACCCCCTAAAGGGGAATATAACTCATATCATCTCACTAATGACGCTTACACTAGCTGTGTGCCAGGAAAAAAGTCTGTGCTGACAAATGTCTATATTGAGGCATTTTCTTAGAACTTGAATGTGATTATGGATGAGTTATTGTTTTATGCTGGTTAAATGCTTATTTATGACATGATGTGACATCATTCGGTGGCCAGGTAGATTAGGTTAGCCTCTTGTCTGATATTAATGACTTTTTACAAATCATTTAACAGAAAGGGGTTGCTCTCAAGACTGTTTAGGATTCTGCGACACAATCAGCCAATCAGCAGCCAAGAGCTCTTTGTGTCTTGAATTTTGATTGGTTTTTTAAGGTGGGCATTGTAATGTCCTGACTTCACTGCTTTGGATTGTCCTCAGTGTGACTTGGTAGCGAGTTTTTCCACTGTGCGGACTTGATGACATTCAGCATGCCCATGGTAAGTTTTAGATGTTTTATGAAATGTTAAATGGTAAATTAGATGGGTTTATTTTCCCAAAAATCCTCACCCCAAAAAAGATTTTTGCGATTTTTTTATTTACTGTTAGACTTCATAAAAGTTCAGTTCATTGTAAAGATTAAGAACTGAAAGTTGTAATTGGTAGGATTTCAGATCTGTACTAAACAGTGTGCATTTTAATGCAGTATTGTAGTATGTAGTAATGTAGTATGTTTATATATTGTTGGCTGTATGCCATAATACACTTGTTTGTTTAGTTTCCATGCTAAATCATCTTTAATCTTGCACTGACTGATTTAAAATAGAGAAAAGGGGAAATTTGAGGTTTATGTGGAGAGAAATAGGCAGGGAACATGCTTTATATTTCATGGTGGATTGTGTGTTTGATTAATATCTGAAAGCATGAGATTGATTTAAAACAATCCTGATGTATAAGTAGACAAATTATATCCGCTGTGGCTGAAAATATATTTTTAATGCACATGCATTGATTTTATGCAATAAACACTTATTTATATGTTAATGGACTCCTTTAAGACTAATGGAATTCTTAAAATCCTGTTGGTAAAGGTAAGAGTAAAACCACTGCTGGAGAATATCTCTAATTAAACATTTATTAATAGGAGGGAAACATTGGGTGATATTAATTCAATTTAATCTGGGTAATTGTGAATATATTTATGCTTGGGTTCTAACAACCTGTTTTCTTTAAGGGTAAATAATAACCAGGATGGGCTTTTCTGGCAAAGACCTCCCCATGGATGGGAATGAAGACTGGTAATTTTATATTTGTTATTAATGTGCAACAAGACAGCAAATATAAAAAAAATAAATTGCTGGGGTACATTTATTATGCGAAGTACATATACAATCTGCATTATATATTATGAGTGGCAAGAACAAACATTTAACAAACTATTTTAAAGGGCTTATATGTTCTGTAGCATTCAGAAACACTGATGCATGATTTGCTCTCAATAACAAAAAATCAAGACAGAGGTGAGAAGTTGCAGTGGATAAAAAATCTGATTAGTGAAATGGGTTGCACAAGCTCAGCAATTCACCAGCATCATGTTAACAGATGAAGTGTTAATTTGCTTAGCATGCTTGACTAAGTATGTTGTTGTTGTGTGTAATTCAGTATTTGTAATAGTATCATGGGAACAGATTTATATAACTATTATTATGTTAACAGGCGCTCCCACAAAATCAGGAAAAGCAGAAGCCAATCCCCGTTTCGGGATGTTTCACCTGTACCATCATATTTCTCAGAACCGGTCTCGTTCCTGCAGCACAGGGTAACACAATTGGATCATTAAGACCGCTGACCACCATATATTTGACAGTTTAACAATGATGATTGAATAACTAACAGTGCAATCGCACTTTTACCTATTTTACCCATGATAATCCCATGAATAAATAAGTCAACTGCTTATTTTCAATAGGATGTAATTGCCAGCTTTCCCCCTCTCCCACGTATAAGGAAGCCACATGGGGACGAAGAAGATGATGATGATGCTCGGAGTCACAAGAGTTTACCAGCAGTGTTTGAATCATTAACCCTTCAACCCAGACACAACAGGTCACACAGACCTACAAAAAATAACATCATATCTGGTTTACCTCCTCTCGTAAGCAACAGGTACTGAATACAGTTTAATCCATACAGCCAGCCATATGTCATTTAAGTATTTGTAAGCAATATAGTATGTAATGAGAATTTGCCAGTCTTATTTCCCTCATGCCATTCTAAAGATGAACTATTAATTTCATACAAAATTCATACACCATTAATTGATTATAAATGTGAAGATTCAATGGAATAATATACTCATAATATATGATTACCAGGTGCAATTTGATTGTAAAAGGAACTGGGTGCAAAACTGTCCCCAAACTCCCACCTATTACCAAATCCAGGTCTACTTGGAAGGAAACAAACCGCTCAAGTTACAGGTATTTCCTTTGTTTTTCAAGAACCAGCCATGCAAGGTTTCAAAATTAAAGACACAACTGTGAACATAGAACTCTCATCTCATAGATCAAACCAACCATCCGTTGACTGCCCACCTAAACCTTGGTGATAAAAACAGAATTCATTGCCCTTAGTTTTTCTGGCTAGAGGAAGGTTAAATTATTTCATACTTGTCAATGTGTTGGCAGGAGACTCCTTTTTTGCATGGCTTAACTCCATTCTGCATTTAGAGCGCTGTTAAATTCACAGAATAAAAATGAAAAGCTACAGTCGATATCTCAGCCGGCAGATATGTGCAGAGTCATTTTCTGCTTATTAATGATTTAAAGCCTGGTTAGTCTCGGCATCACGTGGGCAAGTATTTTTCTGCTTCCCTCATTTATTTGAGGCTGTGAGGTGCAAGGGAGAGAGATGGGAGTTTAGTGTTGAGGACTGAGATGGAGAGAGAGGACATGCAGATTTCTATTCACTTACTATCGGCCCCACAGCTGAGATAATAAACTGACATTAAAGCATCCCGATAAAATGAAATTACACAAAGCAACCAACAGTACAGCACAGTCAGGTCTGCTTGTAAAGTGAAGAGTGTATGTGTAAATGCCTCTCTCCGGAACACGGCACTTCCATGATTTAGGAATAGTGGGGTTTAGAAATGTCTAGGCTTGCTCATTGCGTTTCTTCACTTGACTGGACCATTACTTGTGAATATGATTAATAACTCAAATTATAATTGGATTTTTAATGTGATAATTGAAATCCTGATGACCATTTATATAGTGAAAGTTTCTGCAGTGAACTCATAGCCAAATAAGCACAGGGCTAATGTATAGTTACAATGTTGTGACAGTAATATCATTCAAAAGTAAATAAAAATAAACAAAAAATTGTGCTTAAGCACTAGATAAAGAACAATTCTGGACCTTATTCTTCCTTCTTTTCTTACAACTATAGCCTTTTTTATTACAACTATAGACATTTAATTTTTGTTTCTTTTGTTCTCACCAAGTTTCTCTTATTTATACATTAAAGTGGCAAATTCTGATTCTAAACCTTTGCCTATTTTCTCTGTTGGGCTTTATTTAAAGGTTGCTAAAAAGTTATGGGTAGTTCCTACTATTTCTGAGTAGTTTATAGAATGTTAAGTCATCGATATTGCAGTTTGGTGTTTTGTAGGTACCTTTTATAGAGGGCAAAAAGAAAAAAAGAAAAACTTAAATACTTTTCTAAGCAAATATTTAAATGCACCTTTCAGTCTGAGGTATTATTCATGTTTGTATGCATGCTTTGTTGGTTTTACAAGTGTGAACTCTGTATATAATATCATTTTAAATTCTAATAATTCTCATTCTCCTATGAAAAGGCCTGACAAAATGGAATTCAATTCAACTACACCTGCCCATGCACTGGTGCATCCAAAAATTGTACCTGTCGGGCAGACGTCTCTGTCTGTCAAGGCCCACAGTGTTCAGAAAAATGGGCCCTGCTTGCTTCCTGCCAAAGCCTCTGGAGTGTCCCCGAGATCTCGACTCACTTTCCAGAGTCCTGTAGTGCAGGCAGTGTACCCTATCAGTCCTGACACCATGCAACAGATGAGGCAGACTGACAGACCATGCCAGCCCCTGAGATCTGTGCTGAAAAAAGCACCAAATGGAGGAGTGTTTGACTGCCCACTGGCAGCCCACCTACTGGAGCCATTTTCTGGGTTTCAGGAGCATCTGTGTCGGCAGATCCTACATTCTCCACTGCCTTATCGTGCAGCTCTACCACACATCCATATTCCATGTCACCAGGACCAGGTAGATCAGTTGCCTGCACATAGGGACCCATGCGTTTTCCTGATGGAGCGCACTGTGGAACTCTGCAACTCCCAAGGACACTGGCTTCCCAAAATCACCATGACCTGCCCAACACCTTCTCCGAAACATCTGTCTCGCACGGAAATTAGATATGTGGCTTAAAAAAACCCCAAGATGATTGTTGAGTAAAAACACTTGCACTGCTCGATGCTGTTTGAAGTTAGTATGTGCACAAAGGATCAGAAAGATCACCACTAACACCACCAAGATCTCAAATTCATTTTGCACGTAAAGAAACAATAAAGCCAAAACTGGAACAACTTCCCAATCTCCTGGCACTTCTCCTGATTCCTCATAGATTATTGGACTCATGGTCATAACACTCTTCTTTCCTCAGCTCAAGTTATTGTATAACCAATGATCTTTCATCTAGTTTCCATGGAAGCCCTAGGCATCATTAAAGCATGTTGGAACTGGACCTGAGGGGCAGCACTGTTCCACAGGTATAGGAAGTGCCTCCAAGGAGCTTTAAAAAATCATGCAGTACATTTTCCTGGGTGTTAAGATCCCTAGAGGTACAAATCATAAGTCTGACTTACCTAGGAGGAATGCAATATATTTCCTTCTACCCACTTTCCTAGGTCTTTCTTTTCTTTTTAAAATCAATACAATTTTCTCAGTTGAGCAGAATCTACAGTGAGATAGAGGTCCAGGAGCAATTTTTACATTTTCCATCACAGCCTACTGCAGATATATCTGCCTTTTTTTTTGGTACCGGAGTGTGTATTTTTGAGTATTTGAAGATGTGTATTTGCAAGAAGTAAATGTACTCTTAATAGCCCTATGAGAAAGACTTTTCATTGCAATATGAAATTATGAAGAACATTGATTATCAAAGAATGTGTGTAAAGTGGTACCTACATTACAATATGAAGTAAATTTAAATTCTTTTAAACGTATTTGCTTGGAAGTTTATTCATACTTGTAAATCTTAATGTAAAAATTTTTACTCTAATATTTTTCCAATGGGCCCATATTAACTGGTAAAAGTGTTATCTTAAGAGCAAAAGTGTTATATTAAATGTGATTTGGACTAGCTTTTGCCAGTCTTTTAACAATTTACAATGTAAAGCTGCCATGTGCCATGCCATTAAAAGTTTTTTCTAACTAAATCTCTCTCATGAATCATAATTTCAACATTTCATGTTTATTCAGTGCTGTTGAAGAGTGTTCAGTTATTGAAAATATTTATCTTCAGTATTTGTAGAATTTGGATATTAATTTAGCATATAATGATGATAAAAGAGACATTTCACTGGTTCCTGTTACTGCAATTTTTAAAACGATGGTCCCATGACCAGCTCTAGTTTGTGACCCAGCATTGTGTTTTATGCAGAAAAAACAAATATTACATTAAAAAAACAAAAAACTCTTTGATTTCTGTAACTGTCTCTGCTGTTAATGACAATGTCAATCATTTTTATCTCAATAAAATAAAATATAGTTTTATAGAGCTTTTATATAGCTTATTTGTTACATTACTAACTAATAATTGGTGTTAAAAAGTCCTTTGAAAGTTACTAAGATAGAACCAAATGGCATGTAGGGTTTATTAGATTTGACACCAGTAGTAAAGGAAGAAGGATGGGAGCTTTATCTATAAGTTACAGGTGTGAATAATACATGTAATTAAAATTAGTGAATGCAATGTAGTAACTTTAGCATTTGGTATATTCCAGAAGGTTCCAAACATCCAAGACCACACGGGGGAAAAAGTCTTGTTTTCCCTTAAAATCCACATATCAGGTTGATTTATATCAGATTTTACAGCACATCTGGAATTAATTTTTAATCTCTATGAAAAAGATCAATTTAATTATACTGAAAGAAAATTTAACTCAAGGCCATTATTCTATTATCATAGACAAGTTTGCTTTTATAAATTTATTCAAATGTGGTGGGGACAGAACTATGGTCCTATTTTCTATTTTTAAAAATGCCCAAAACTAAATTTTCTTCTAGAAATTTGAATAAGCTTATTTTGAGATATGTTGTATTCCCCATCTTAGCAGTTACCCAGGGTGGGCCATGCTCATGATTGGGTGGACCAGGCTCCCCCTGCAGAGTCAAGTCTGTCTCACAATGCTGTCAGGACAGCTTCCAAGTGCACAGTCTGGAACGGCAAGGCAAAAATGTCAACAGTGAATTGAAAAGCATGTCTGCAATTTCAACTGCTGCTTCACCATTGAGTTCAGAGCTGAATTTTCGCATTCTTCAGTCAAAGCATATGAAATGCTCCTTGAGGGTGTCACCAAGTGAAGAATAAGACCTTGATATAAAAAATGCTGTGATTTTATAGTGTTTTAAAAAAAAGTACATTTGTAACAACATTCATCTCTTTACCTACTAGACATGTCACAACCAAGGTTTTCAGTGGCCCAGGCTTAACTTCATTGCAGAGTCAGTGTGTAATTGTGCGTGTGATTTTGTGTGTGTGTGTGTATGTGTGTTTGAGAGAGAGAGAGAGCATGTGTGCTGTTTCTCATGTCCTGTTTCTCCTGCTGTGCTCAAATATGGGTGTAACAGCTCCCTAGTTTCATGCTCTGATTATCTGGTTAGGCATTACCCATGGTTGTATCGCCCTTACAACCTTGTACCGACTCGGTCTGACCTTTTTCTCTCCAACTGACAGGCATTCCTCTCATTCCTACAAGGAATGATTTAGGATGGGCCCCATTTTGAAGACACAAACCCAACTGCTAAGTGACCTTAGCTAAAGTTAATTGTCAGCTAAAAATAATATCACACTGTCTTGAAGTTATAATCAAATAGTACGACTATTTATGAAATGAATTCTCATTAGTCAAAATGTTCACCAACATGTACTTCAATATATTTACCACTAGAGGGCACAACAAGCCTTTTCCTTGCAAACTTTAGTTATAATATATGGTGCAGTTTGACTTGTTAACCTCTTGATGACAGCATCATACTTGTAGTTAATTAGCATATCAAAATATGAATAATAATAATACTTATAAAGTTAATAACTATAGCATAATTTTAATCTTTCTGTAATGTACAGGGAAATTTAAATGCATTTTAAATTCATGAGATTTGCAATATTGAAAAAGTTGGATATGCGATATCTAATGGCATTTTAATTCTTTATATTTAATGGATATGTGATAGTAAAAGTAAGACTAAGCGAATGTCAGTAACAGACATTTTTTCATTTGTTTTTATTTTCAATATTCACTCAATTTTTTATTCACACTTGCCAGCATCTTCTAATATTTGTAAGACATGTTCAGTCGTCAGGAAAACTCCCTCTGCACCCTTAGATGAGCATTAAACAACCTTGATAAATTAGCTTCTTTAGAAAACAAACCAAAAGACGATTATCCATGCTTGTTACATCTGACGCAAATGGCAGCTTGCCTCAGTAGTCTCAGATAAGCTACCTGAAAGTTCACTTGAAACATAAATGGGAAGAATCAAACAGCAGTCCGCGGATAACGTTAAATGTTTCTGAATAGATAATGAATACATTGTAAAGGAAGCACAAAGAGGTTTGTGTTCCTCAAAGTGTCCTCTAAAGTAGGTTTAGGAAAAATAATTTCCTTTAGTCCTAAGAACACCTCAGAGAAAGTTAAACCAAAACAAATTGTCTGATGTGTATTTTGAAGCTTATCTTATAATAAGGTGCTGGGAAAATGCTGCATTATTTTGCTTAGAAGCTACAAACTCTACACTTATTTGTGGAATTAAAAAAATAAATAAAGAAAATAGATAAAACGTCTTTATTGATGATTTTTTAAAATACCTATTACCTTTTATAAAGCCATTTAAAGTAATGTATTTAAGGGATTTTTGGGCATGATAGGAGAGTAACTAAAACCTGCTTGGTAAAATTACAGCCCACAATTAACCTAATTCTGTATTAAGTAAGCATTATGAGCATCTGATGAATTAGTGAAATTCCTCAGGTTTGACCATTATTGTGAGAAAGAAACATATATGGCCAACAGCTGCAGTGCATTTACAGTCAGCTCTCCTACAGTATGTGGAGGTCATTCATCCGCCTATCAGATATCTAGCAAAATGTTAGGCTTAGAGCCACAGTTGCTACTTCAGCATCAGACCTGCTTTGAAAACTGGAAGGCCACCAGTTTGGTCACTAGGGCACACGCTCTACAATTCACTTACAATGAGGTGTCAATCCTGTGCATATGTTAGCCGTGTGCTCAATGTCACAGGATCTAGACCGAAGCATGTGTGTTTGTGTTTATACACTTACTCCTGGAGATTATTGCCTGTCTAAGATTATCTGAGGCCATCGTGAAGCTTTCAGCACTGGTCTGATTTTACTTTGCTCTTTGTAATCTATAGTTTGAGCTCCTCCTCTGTCCCATCCTAAAGTGACATGCACCCGCGTGCAGGAACAACACCTGTTCACTAAATACTGCATCATGCGATCTTTATCTCTCAGAGGGACCAGCACCTTCTTTTTGTGCGTCGTGAGATTTTGCACTGTGCCAATGTGCCCATGTAACCTTCTATATTTAACTGCAAGCAAAGCAGTGCCACAAATTACCACCTCAGCACTCAGTATCAATTCGTGAAGATTACGACAGTGTCAAATCTGTAACCAGAAGACCTCTCATCAGCAATAACCAGAGAAAGTGTTCCAGATGTTTCTAAAAGTAGCTGTTTCTTTTTTCAATCAAATTTTCTTCTGTATGACAGTATCAAACATGAATGAAATTCACAAATATATCAGTATCCATCCAAATCTAAGTGAATAAATAATAAAAAATAATAATAATAATTCAAGAGTTCGCCCTTAGCTGATGATTGATTATAATGCGTGTTTTTCATGCTGTCCTGGGAGAGAGCCCTAAGCTCATGAGATCCTCGAGCCCCGGGCTCCCTCCCGTTGCAGCGTGAGAGGGGAGTATGAGCTCAGATAGGTCTCGAGAACTCCCCTGCTTGATAAAGTAAATGTAGATTAAGAATTAGCTATGGAGTGTGTATGCTGAATTCAACACTTGTCGATTTAGATTTTTTCAATTTACTTATGTTACATGTTTTAGTCTGTGTAAGGAAACTGGAGAGCTCAGGGAAAACCCATGCAAATATGGGGAGAACATGCAAACTCCACACAGAAATGCCACCTTGGCCAGGTAAGATCTAAGCCAGTGACATTCTTGCTGAGAGGCAATGATGCTAACCATTGGGCCTCCGTGCTGCCCTGACAAGGAAAGGGGAGGAGTAGGGGTGGAAGGGGTGATTCTTCAAGACGAAGATGGCTGAGGTAAGATACTCTGGTTATTTATAGTCATTTAGGAATCGTCTGATTGGTGAATCATACATTAGCTAATGAGGACCAGCTGCTATCAATTATAAGCATGTGCTCCTCTCGAAACTTGTTTATTAATAAACTTCACCTATGAAATAATCTATAAAATAATTAGTTGAAATGCTGTTAAATGTATTGTTCATCATTACCCCTTGATTTTACCAAACAACCTCACCGATCCTAATAAACCAAGAAGACTTTTATATAAGTGTCTCTTTTTATTGCACATGGCCTACCCTGAATGTGGCAAATAGTTTGAATCAAGCCAAACCTATAAAAGAGAGTACATATGCACTTTGAATATTTTATGGGTCACGGAACAAATGCATGGAAGCAGAGCACCTCTGGCATCATGGAGCATTTCCACTCTAGAAGTGACAGGGGATGATCGGGAGTAGTGTAGTTGCACTTGTAGCTATTTTGCAGACATATACAGTATTGTGATGCCTGCAGTTAATCCTTATAACAACCAACCTTATGAGAGGTGCAAGGGAAAGGTGATTCAAGTCAAAAAGTAAACCATAACACAATAAAGGAGCACTAAAGTCTATGCTAATCTGCTCCTTGCTGATATGGTTTGTTTGCATCATAAAAATTCATGCATCATAGACTAAGGTCATAAATGTATATAGTTGGTTCACCGTTCTTGTTTTGACAAGCACAGGATAGCTTTGGTGGCTTGAAGAGTGCAGGTCTGGGTGAATGGGTTCATTTGGGTCACTCTGTGCATGGGGTCTGTTTTTGGAACTGTATCATTCAATAAGTTTCATGAAAGCCTTTGCCAAGCCTGCCAGAGCAGATCCCACCATG